AGACGCAATCAACAGCCTGTGGGGAAGCAGGCTAAGTTGGTCTATACCATAAGGAGGAGCTGAGAGACAGCGAGGACCAGTGAGGGACAAGGAAAGCCACAGAGTTGAAGGGTGAGTGCAGAGCCTGTTACAGGGATGACAGAAGAGGAAGGTGAATTTTAAAAAACACTGCTGTAAGTGAAAAATGGGACCACTGTTGACAAGAATAAAAAGGTGAGGGGCTGGAAGGTGGCAGGGTGGTTGAGGGCACTGGACTCCTACATGAATGACTATGGTTCGAGTCCCAGACCTGGTAGCTTGCTTTCTCACTTTCTCTCTCTCTCTTTTTCTGTCCTACTCTGGTCAAATTAAAAATAAATAAGTAAATGAATAAAATTAAATAATTTTTTTTTAAAAAAGGTGAATATCTTTTCATTCCTTAATGTACGTCTTTGGAGACTGAGCCACTAGGAACCCCAGCTTATATTAGAGATACACACAAAGAATGATGCAAACTTTCTCCATACCCAAGAATAAGTCAGTTGCTGGCCTACCTCATATGCAGATAAATCATACTGGTCTTCCTTTGCTTCCTCTTCATTTTCTTCTTCCTCATTTTCCTCCTCCTCGTTTTCCTCTTCCTCATTTTCTTCCTCCTTGTTTTCCTCCTCATTTTCTTCCTCTTCATTTTCCTCCTTTCTCTCTTCCTTCTCCTCCTCTACCTCCTCCACTGTCGCCTCCTCTTCCTTATCTTCTTTGGCCATCACACTTTCCTGGCTGACAGATGGCTTTGAGGAGCCTTCTCCTTCAACCTGCATTTCCTCTGACTCTTGAACGGAGCCCTCTCTGAACTCAGACATCCTGTCGCTCAGCGCAGGCTTCCCCGGCTGGCTCAGTACCTCTTCCGTTGTGAAGGACTGCGTTTCATCTTTCTCTTCAGTCTCTTCTGTTGACCTGCTGGAACTTGTCTCTCCACTTATGCTTTCCTCACCTTTGCTCTTTGCCATGTGAGTCTCTTGTCTTTTCCTCAGTTTCCTCATTCTCTGCCGGAAGTACATTTCATGTGCTTCTGTCGGTGACCGAATCCAAAGTGAAAGGAGAGACTGGTCACGAATGTGGCTTGGATTGGACCTCCCCAACCCAGAAAAGTACAAAAGTGAAGCCAAGGAGAATCCAACTTGAATGGTAAGAGTGTTACCTGGTTGCCTGATTCTGAAAATGACTTCCCCCGCCAAGTTCTACAAAGAAAGAACACAGGTCACTCAAGGGCCAGCAGTGATTTTCCCCAGAACACCCTGCTAGGGGCATCTCTGTCTTACAAAACAAAAGGACTCATCTCTCCCTAGCAATATCGGCTGCAGGCCTATCAATATTGGATGTAATTAGGTTCAGGGGGTCATCAGGGCAGGCCCAATCCAGGGCACCCGTTTTTCTTAATTCCAAGCAGGTTAGTAAACCCTCACGGCACACGTTGGGCTATAATGGAATCAAGGCTCATTCCGACACAATTCTGCCAGCAATCTGAAGAGGAGGGAAAAGATATATAATCAAGGGATGCAGACAGAAGGCAGAGGTCAACGGCCCTTGGCGCTGGGTAGGACAGACTGAGTATGTTTCCCATGATCCTGGGAGCCCCTCATTAGCCTATAGTTCCCCACTACACAACTCTGGGTGAAGCCACAGAGACACTGTGTTATGAATACCAGTGTGGGCTGTGTGCTATGCAGGTCTGAGTTTGAATCCCAGCTCCTCCTCGTTACAACCTGAGTGACCTTGGGCAAGTCCCATAAACTCCATGGGGCTCAGTGTTTTCCCCTGCAAAGTGAAATTACAAGAGCCTTCATACCTTTAACTCTTGTGACCAGAAAGATTTCACAGGGCAAACAATAAAATCACCTTCCTATAGCTTCAGTCCCCACTTCAACTCAGTGTCATAGGGAGCTTTTATTAACCATCTGAACGGTGATCCTTTGAAGCAAAGAGATTCTCTGGAAGGAGCCAGGTCTCCTCTACGTGTGGGAAATCCTCGGCCAGGTTCAGTGCCAACCACAGGCATGCTCACTGTGGTCAGCCAGGACCTTGGTTGGGTGTGTGAGAAAAGAGCCAGACTCGGGGGATTCATATCAGGATATCTGGAGATGTGTTTATTGTATCTGAATTATGGACAAGACTCTGTGCTAAGAGCTGTTGAAGCTGAATAAAGCTTGCTCTTCAGAAAACACATTCTAGTCGGGTGCTCTAAACTCCTGTATTTGACAGCAACTAAGTACAAGCAAGTTCAGAGATCAGATGTATGGCAGGACAAGGAAGGTGAGATGAGGGGTCAGGCTGTGGGATCCTTGGCCCCAGTAGTGATCTGGAAGTATGGGTGGGTTTGGACCTATTGAGGCAGAATCCCAGGAAATGGAGTTGGAGGAGAAAGGGCAGGCAGGCAGAGGGCATATGCAGGAAGAGGGATGAGGACGCTGAACCAGGGGAGTCAAGGTTGGAAGCAGAGCGTGGGGCCTCTGTGGTCATTTAGGGACTGTGAGTCGATTTAGGGGCTGCAGAGTTGAGGGACTTTTGAGCAGGGGACCGAATGGATTAGAGCTGGATTTTATGAGAATGACATGGCGGTGGTGGCTATGATGAATGAAACTCATAGTGTCAGATAAATTAGCCTTCTCGTTCTAAGTCCATTCCCTCCTGGAGGCCGAAGCTCTGAGCCCTTCAACCTCTTTTAAACTGAGAAAGAGGTGGTCTCTCCAGAGCCACTTTCAGCTTCTCTCTTTGATGTCCTGACATCCCTTGAATTGCCGAGGTAAGGATGGCTTTTGGAATCTAGGCGGACCAGAATAAGAAGTCATCTCTCCCCTTTGCTTCTTCATTAGTGGCTGAAGGTTTCTACCCCTTTCCGTACCTGTTCAAAGATTTCCCGGACGAAGAAGTGTTGGCTCAGGGCGGAGCTGTAAGAGTTGAGTTCTTTCAGTATGATCACCGGGTAGTCCATCACTTCTTTTGTCAGGAGGGCGTGAAAACTTTCATACCTGGGAAGTAGGTAGACCAGACCACTGTCCAAGAGGCTCGGTGGAGTTGGGAAGGCCTAGGTAGTGAACTGGAAGTATGGGTGGGATCTGGAGGCTGGCTGGACTCTGCCAACCTGCTCCACACAGAGCTGCAGTGTGGGTGTTACCTGTACAGTAACAGTCCTGGCTTTGTTTGCTATTTTTCTGATCAGATGAGGGGCACGCACTTATTGCAGAAAATGTGGAAAACACACTTAAGACAGTCAGCTCACGGTGTAGGTTTCCTTTTCCTGCCCACTGTCTTAATCCTGTCCTCGAACTGGACTTATATTATCCCAGCAAATCCTTAAACACCTCGATGGTGACTTTTCTCTGTTTCCCAGATATGGAGACCAAGGCTCAGAGTTATGCCTAAAGTTATATTTCGGGGGGCCAGCAGGTTATGTAATGGTTAAGGTGCTGGACTCCCACATGGCTGGCCACAGTTTGAGTCCTGGACCCAGAGGCCTGAAACTCATGCTGGGCAGGTATGCATGCATGCCCAAAATCCCAGGAGAATGGAGGAGAAGCACGTTGGTGTGGCCATACCCAAGGGGGGAGGGTGTGACTTCTTGCTTTCTGTCTTTCTGTTTCTAGTGAGCACACATGTCCTATAGCAAAAATCTCTCTCTAAAAAAATAAATAAATAATAAAGTTATACTTTTGAATCCTAGTACCACAACCAGTTGGCAGAGCAACTCCATATCTGTGAATAGTCCTTACAGAATTAGTTCTACAAAGGTAGAAAGATACAGCAAAGTTCAGAGAAACGTCTGTGAATATTGAGAAATGAACCAATCAGAAGATGGTTAAATCATTAGGATGTATGCATTCATATTAGTGAATCCTATATGATCATTGAAAACTCAAATACAGATCAGCAATCGTACAACAATTTTACAGAGTAACCCAGCTTTTATGTAAAAAGCTCTATATGTGTACATTTCCACACGTATAAATGTTTATGTCTATAAAAAGGAATAGTTGGGTAGAAATGAGCAGAAATATCTCTATTTTTTAAAAGAATTTTAATTTTATTTATTATTATTTAATTTGCTATAGGGCACCACAGAGAGAGAGAGAGAAATTGAGAAAGCAAGCTGCCGTGTCTGGGACTTGACCCATGGTCAACCATGTAGGAGTCCAGCGCCTTGACCACCATGCCACCTACTGGCCCCCTCTTTAACAAAGGGCATGAATGTTTAAATTTTTAATAGGAAGACTCAGGTCCTTCGGCTTTAAATATTGACTCATCGGAAAAGTTAAGAAGTATTTTTCTGTTTTTTTTTTTTTTTTTCCTATGCAAAAATGTGTCATGACTTTTCTGATGACCCAATACATCCTGTGGCCTTGAAATTTCACTCCACAAACTTATCAAAATTCTCCCTGGAAGCCTCTGTGCTTGCTGAAAACAGAGTTGCAAAGGATCACACCATTCTCTGAAGTCAAAGCACAATTTTCACGGTAAGCGTGCCTCAAGATGTCTATGCAGGCTGCTTACGACTCTAGATATAATTCTCGACCACCCCCTCCTGTGTTTTGGGGTTTGGTTGGCCTACCTGGATTTCATGTTCCTCAGAAAATCTTTGGCCTTTTCCAGGTGAAATTTCAGTGTTTCTCCGTGGCTTTGTTGTCTCAGCTGATCCAGGAGTTTATCAAAGCAGGCCTCCTGCATCTGGCAGCCCCCCACAGAACAAGAGGAAACAAACAGGAGCTTCCCAAGCGTGCATGGTATAAGTGTCATGCAGAGACCCTGCCACTGGAACTGAGGCCCAGCTGTCTGGCGCAGGCCTGGGACTTCTGTTTCTACAAAAGAGACACCAAATCTGCCACTGCTCTCAGGGTCTTTGTTGCAGGCTTTGGGGCACTTCTCTGTGCCCAGAATGTCTTCTAAGCCACTTTATGCCAGTGGACCCAGCTCAGCTGGGACTCCCCAGGGACATGCCTGCATACCCAGCCCACCTAGTCAGGCCTGCACTGCACCTTCCTGCATATCTGCTCCTCACTCTCCTTCTCATCAGTCATAATGAAAATTAGTTGTGGAGGCCCCCACCCTAGACTGTGCAAGGGCCAGCTGCTCCCTTGCGGGGCAGGGTGGCTGCAGATGTAGATGCTTGAGTCCCCCTGCTATGTAGCTTTGAAGTGACCCCAAACACTCAGTCTGCTACATGAATGTACTCACTTATGCTGCCACTGAGAATGAGATGTCCTATCAGACTCCTCATGTGAATAAGGAGCTATTCTCCTCTCCCCTTGGGATTGTGACAGTGACCTTACCCTCCCCATGGGATTGTTACTTCACACCTTATCAGATCCCCTATGTGAATTACTGACCTCAACTCCTGGATCTCACAATTAAGTACAATCTCAAGATCTTGGCAGACATTTGAGAACTTGGGCCGTGGTGGGTTCCACTGTCAGCCACTTCTCTAAGGACCAAGACCTCGTGCTGCAACAGGCCTTTGAAGCCTTGCCCACCAACACCACCCCACCCTCCAGCTTTCTGGGAATTCATCCAGGACCTCCACTGTGTGGGTCAGGCCAATCTTTCCCAAGGAACCACTTACAAAGAGGTTCACCCAATCTCTAACCAGACTTTACTTCCCACAGGGGCCTGCTTCCATCCTACCTGAGCAACTAGCCTCTAATGGCTTTGGAACTTACTCCCTGGGTGGTTAATGGACCTCATCTATTGGGTGTATTTCCTTGTGAGAGTTCTTCACATTATTCTCTCCCACCACTCCTTTTTTTATAGTTTGTCAAAGGATGTGTGCGCTTGCCAGAGAGAGACAGAGACACAGAGAGGGGGAAAGTGAGAAATCACCCCTCAAAGGGAATGGCCACAGCACAATCCCTTCTCCTCCATTCTCCTCTTGGAATTTTTTTGGCACACACGCACATGTGCCTGGCATGTTTCCCAAGCTGCTAGGTCTGGGACTTGAACCGTGAAGTCGGTCATGTGGAATCCAGCTGCCTCAATCACCATACCACCGGCTGACTATTTTCCCCCTCTTTAAGCACTGTGAACCTAAGAAAAAAATTATTTTGTGTGACAATAAACTGTGATTCATGAAATCACTCTTTGATCATCCTTATTTTAACCCTCCAGTTTGTCTGTCTGTCTGTCTGCCTCTTGTGCATACTGACTTACATTGGGTCCCAAGGACCCATTGCATGGATGGGACTTGGCTCAAGATTTCTGCTATTCCTGTCTGGTCCTTTGATCAAGGTGAGCCTCAAAATATCCTCACCTGGAAGAGTTTTACCACGTGAAGTTTTACATCTGGAGCTAGGACCTGTTTTAAACTAATTTTGGTTTATTCTGTGAAATATGGGTCAAAGCTCTTTCACTGTCATTGTTTCTTGGGCTGGGCCTCAGGGCAGCCATCGTGGCCCGCCCTGTGCCCTTTGGTGCCCAGAGTGGTGGTTGCACCTGGTTCTCCACGATGTGCTTCTGCCGGTGCTGCTCCATCCTCCTCTCCAGTTCCAGCTCCTGCACCGACAGCACGCTCTGGTGCACCTCCCACAGCCGCACAGCCTCCTGGAAGTAGTTGAAGAGGTCTGCACTCTGCCACTCTGTCTTCTTGGCCAGGGCCTCGAAAGATTTCTGCAATGGCAGAACCCCGAGTAGGGCCTTGAGGGCTGAGCAGCCCACAGCCAGGAGGAAGGCTCACCACAGGGCCCCCCAACATCTGAGGACTGACCTTCTCTGCCATGGCACAGTGACTTCTGGGCCACACTTGGGCTCCTGGCCCTCCCCCTATGGTCTACTTGAGGCCACACCCTTAGTCTGGCTCACCCTGAGGTCCCATCTCTAGACTGTCCTGTGTCCCACTGCTGTAAGTGACAGGTCAAAAATGGAGCTTGGGCCTAGAAGCAGAAGGCCAACCACAGAAACCAGCCTGGGCCTTCAGGTGGGCTGTACAGTCTCAACCTCAAGCATCTTTCCTTCTTCAGTGTTCCTGACTAGGCATCTGGGCAAACCCTCACCCGCTGCTAAACCTCCTGTACGGCTCCCCCCCACTCTCCCGTTAAACGTATATGTGAACTGTGCCCTCTGCCAGGGACTGTGGCCTGAGGGCTGAATTTGGCTTTCTGCTTGTTTTTATTTGGCCCTGTGAACTAAGTGCTAATTTTCTAGTTTCCAGCAGTTGAAAAAAATTAAAAGAAGATATTTAATAACAGTAAGGCCATATGAAAATCAAATGTCGGTGTCCATCCATGAAGTGGAACACAGTCACGCTGCATGTCTGCATTGCCAAGGGCTGCTATGCTGTGACACTGGTAGAGTTGACAAGTTGTGACAGAGACGGGATGGCTCATGGAGCCTAAAATATTCACTCCCTAGCCTTCCATAGTACATGCAAGCTGGCTACTGCTTGAGATTTTAAGAACCTTGGAACCGGGGGGCTGACTGCTCTTCTGCAGCGCATCAGGGCCCAGCAAGGGTTCAGGAGCACTCAGGGCCCGAGACGGTTTCCCAGAGTTCTGCAGGGCACCTCCTGCAACGAGCAAGCAGCTGGGAGGGCTCTGGGGGATGAGCCTGGACAGGTCAGTGCAGGGGACTGCTCTGAGAGGGGCTGCGGACAGCAAGTGTGAGTGGACACACCAGGAACAAACATGCAAGTTAGAGGCCCCTGGACACCCACTCTCCTTACAGCCTAGTGCCAGGGTGCCCTTCCTGCCCTGGCTCCCCAGCTACGCGGGTCCCCACCATAAACGCACGTCCAAGAGTTCCAGGTCCTTCTCCACCTTGCTCTGGAGTTTCCCCACCATCCGGAAGAAGGATGGGTTTACCAGCATCTCGGCCTCCTCCTCGGTGAAGGCTTTCCAGTCTAGCAGCTGCTTCTAGGGGAGGACACCAAGGTCAAGCCTGGTTTAGAGTTACTGACCCCACGGGCATCAGCTGTATCCTACAGGGACCTGGGCTCCCAAGGGAAGGGCTGTGCTCCCTGTGGGTTCAGCATAAACCAGACTGCCATGCACAGGGCAGGGCAGAGCAGCAAGAGTTCCCCAGTGGGAGGAGGCGGGCCCCTGGACTTGGGACCTCTTCAGAGTGATTAGGCTTCCTCAACGGATACACCAGCAGGATGCCCCGAAGTTTTACCAAGAAGGCATTTTGACAAAATATTTCCTTCTATCCTGGAAAACTAGTCACTGTCCTGAACGAGTGTGGGTAGAAACTCACTATCTCAGCCTATTGTGAGCCTGGCAGGGCAAGGAGGAAAAAGGGCTGGACAGCAGGGGCAACATGGTCTATGGGAGGGGCACACTGCAATCACCCCGGATTGGACCTCCACTAATAAATGGTGCCCCGCGCTATGCATGCAGAGTCAAGGGTGAAGTTGGAGGTGACCTGAGATAGCCTCCCATGGGCTTCCTGGAGGAGGCTGGGCTAAGCCCGAGGGATAGCAGGGTAGCTGAGAGGAGTCTGGGCAGGGGGCTCAGCTTCCAAAAGCCCAGAGGTCGGTGAGAAAGAAAAGCCAGGATCATGACTGAAAGGCGTGTGGGGAGGGTGGGGATAGGGTGGGACAGGGCGGGGAGGAAGCTCTCAGGCCTGCCGGGAGGGGGCGCCCACCTTGCAGTTCTGCACTTGGGCCAGACACTCCTGCCAGGTCAGCTCGTAGAGCAGGCGGATCCGCATCATGAAGTCCACGTGGTAGTTGTCTCCAGGAGCAGAAAACAAACATGTCAGCCACTCTCCCAGAAGGAAGAGGAAGATGAGAACGAGGCGTGTCCCCTGTGCCAGGGAAGCAATGTCTTCCCAGCCAAGCGGCTCCACGGCAGTTTACTTAGGTGAAGACTGGTAGTCTCGATTCAGATCAGGACTGATGGCTCCCTCCCCAAGAACCCAAAACGAGGACTTGTTTTCATCCGTTCTGAATCCAGTCTGACCCTAATTCTTGCTTCAGCCTTGAGGCTGATGAAATGCCTTTTGGGAAGCCGCACCAGGTCATAAGCCAGCAGCGAGCGTGCAAACTGGTGAGCATTCACAGATCCTGTGGGTGGTGATTCCCTAGCCGTGGGCGCACCAGGACGCTCCAAAGCTTACCCACTGGTTTCTGTTCCCCCCTTCTCCTCTCTGTGCTGGGCCAGTTTATGAGCTCAGTGTGACTTTGGAGTCTAAGACTAGTGCTCCTGGCACTTTCTACAAACTGAAAGGCCATACAGATGGTGGTTGTTCTGTGATCAGAGCTGGGAAGGGTGGTAGGTGGGCGGTAGTAGGGTGTCCCCAGGGCCGCTTCTTAGGCCAGAGCATCCACACTCTCTTCCACGTCCCCACTTCCACCCCCTGAAACTTGCTGAACCATACGCCCCCTCTGACCTCATCACCCTCTTCTCAGGACCTTCCACTGGGTTCCTCCTGCCCTCATAAAGCCCAACTGCCCCCAGGCCCACATGGCTATCACAGTTGGATCCCATTGCCAAGCATAGCCTTCTCCGCCACCTCCCCCTACCCAGCTCTGTCCTGCCTCCAGGTCACCCCACGTGCTGTATCCCTGCTGGAAAAATCCCCACTCTGGGCCTGGTCAACTCTTACTTGCCTTGCAGGTCTCAACCTGGTTACCACCTCACAGGTAAGATCTTCCCTGCCCCCTCGCCCAGCTGTATGCGTGCCTGGCTGTGGGCTTACGTGGCTGAACACTCCCTGGTGTGATGTCCTGCGTGGTCTGACTCCCACCCAACAACTGCCAGGGCCCAGCATAAGCCTTGCCTTCTCAGGCACAGAAGGGACAGCAACAATTGCTATTAGTTAGGGTCTCAGGGTTATTTAGGGTTAAACCTATTATTTGGAATTTCTTAGAGAATTACCTGTGGTATTATAAATGCGACAGGCCTATAACAATGGCAAGTACTGCTAACTGAAGTAGCCAGGCCAAGCCCACCTGCGACACTTCATTGGATGTGTGACCTTGGGCAAGACACCTCCCCTCTCTGTGCCTCTATCACAAAAGGATAATGCAGCCCCTGACCTTATAGCACGACTTTGCTGTGAGCCTCAGAGGAGATGGAAAAATTAGTATATAGCTTCTAGACCAAGGCTTAGCAAACTTTTCCTATAAAGGGCTAGGAAGTAGTTTCAGTTTTGTGGCCAGATGGTCACGTGGCGACTACTCGTTCCTGTCATTATAGGGTTAAAGGAGCCAGAGACAATATGTGAATGAATGAGTCTGACCGCGCTCCCACAGCACAGTCAACATTTTTGCGTTTACAAAAACGCAACTGGCCCACCGGCTGCAGTGTGAGACCCCGTTGCTGGGCATTTCAGACATTTCCATTTATGGCTGAGCACTCTCGGTGTAAGCCAGGCACTGGACATGAGTACCTAAGGGAGGGAGCATGGCTACTCCTCCTGACAACCCCATTTCATGGAGGATGAAAGTGAGACCACTAGAGGCCCTGACATCCCCAAAGTCACACCGCTGGAATTGGGATGCTGTAGAGGTGGGCATCAAATCCGTGTCTCTGACTACAAGAGCACATGCTTCACCTCATGCCCCCACCATGGTCCCTGAGCCATCCCAAGAAGTGGTCAACAGAATCTTGGGGCAGGGAGCAGGGGCCAGGGGTCAGAGTGTTGGCTGGTGTGGCTATGGCTGGGCAGTGAGTCAGGGGGCTCCGGGAACGGGGAGGGGGTGGCTAATGAGCTCTCAGTTCTGACCGTTCCCTCCACACCCCTCCTGTCCTCCCCAGGATAGAGGCGCCACCACTTCCTCTCAAATAATTGTTGATTGGCTGTGCCCCAACAAAGCTCCTGCTGCACAGA